AAATTTGATATTTAGTGTTCCCCTGTTGGAATGTTAATTTGGAGACTGGAGGTATTCTAAGGTCAGTGCTCCTATAAACAGCACACCAGAGAGGGGCCACCAAACTTAGTGTCTGTTTTGGGAGGGATTTCAAATGGACTTCAAAGGATATTTATTAATGAGAAGTTTGGAACTGCTCAGTGACTTGCCTAGAGTTGCACCATAGGTCAATGGCAGAGCCACCCCTAAACCCACATTTTCATGCATATATCCAAGGGGCCACAAGGGTCCTCTGTCTTGACTGGTGACTTTTCTCTTTTGAAGACAATAGAGCCTCAGAGTTCATTCTTTTACCTTGTTTTCCAACTGAAATTCCAGTGATTTTCTTTTTCCTCCCCAGTATAGTATATTCCATCCAATAATTCCTTAAGCAGTGGCCTCTCTTTAGAAATACTTACAGTTTTAAACTTGGCTCAGGCTCCAGAAACCACTCCTCTAGGAAGCCTTCCATGATGCCCTCATCTTTTTTTTTTTAAGATTTTATAAGATTTTATTTTTAAGTAATCTACATCCAACATGCACCTTGAACCCACAACCCTGAGATCAAGAGTCCCAAGCTCCACTGACTGAGCCAGCCAGGTGCCCCCATGATGCCCTCATCTTTAGTTAGGGAACCCTCTTCTTGCTCCACACGCTTTTTTTTTAAGATTTACTTATTTGAGAGAGAGAGAGAGAGTGCACGAGCATGGGAAGGGGCAGAGGGAGAGGGAGAGAAAGAATCCCAAGCAGACTCCGCACTGAGCATGGAGCCCAACACGGGGAATGATCTCATGAACCTGAAATCATGACCTGAGCTGAAATCAAGAGCCAGGCACTCAACTGACTGGGCCACCCAGGTGCCCCTCCATTTACACTTGATGTATGCAATTACTGTACTGCTAGCACATTAAACAAATGTTTGAATTTGTTAAAAAAAAAATGAAATTCAACCAAGTAAATCTGAAGATCTAATTGCTTTATTTAATGATTCATGAATCGGTCCATATCCCAGCTAGCAAATAGAGGGGAGTTCAGGGAGTTGTACAAAATGGAAGGTTTTTATAGGAAAGATGGTGGGGCAAGAAAGTTATTGGCAAAAGAAAAGGATTGTTCCCGGCAAGATCACTTTCCCTTAGGGAGAAGAGCAAGGTTTCTTATCATGCAGATGACCTCATCTTCCTTTGGGGATAGAGAGGGCCCATGTAACAGATTACTTCATTGGCCCTGATCAGAAAATTCCTGACTGACTGGTTAAGATTTATATTTCCGGGGGAGGTTGAAACTACAGTTAGATTAGGTATTAAGCCCTGTTTGGTGACTTGGCCTAAGTGATGCCGTTTGGGGCCTGTGGTTTTCTTTTTAACAAACTATACTGATTTGCACTATTTCCCCTAAGAGCTTCTAGAAATAGTTAAATAAAGTGTTTATGAAAGTTGTGCCTCAACCAAATAGGCAGATTACATCATCAAAGAAATACATTAAAATAGAGTTACTAGGTCTTGCCAAGTATTTTTGCTTTGAAGGTCCCCTTCTATTTTTTTTTAGTGATAAGCTGTCTAAAATATATATTGACATTTGGATAGTCCTTGTCCCTTCATGAGACATCATGTCTTCAAAGAAAGAAATAATAAAAATATTCTTGCCAGAACTTAAAATATGGAGGAAAGGCAAAGACATTCCGACTTAATGATGTCAGATACTCTAGTGTAGCTGTGTTTCCCTCTACAGCCTAAGCATGCATTCATACAGAATGTCTCAACTTTATCATCCTTTGAAATGTAGTCACAAGAGCTGCAACTTCCTTTCACTCTTTTCTGATGCAAGATATGACTGAAGTAACAGAACACCCAAGATAAAACTTTGTGTGTATTAATCAGGATAGACCCAAGTCAGCCTGCAATAACAAGCACCACCAAAATCACTGTCTGTGGTTAACATAAAAGAAGTTTACCTTTGCTTGTGGGAAGAGCACTGAGGGTCCAGGACAGCTGACCTCCATGTGGTGGCCCAGCAATCCAGGCTGCTTTGATCTTGAGGCACCCCCATATTGACATGTGCTTCTACCATTGCTGTGGGGGGAATGGGAGCCTGGTGCATTGTGCCCTGGCTCTTCCGTGTTTCTGGCTGAAAGAGACACATAGGCATAACTAACCCAAGGCAGGAAGACCTAATCCTCGCTCTCTGATGGGGTAGAGGACTGGAAATATTGGTAGGCACTGGTAATAACTACCAAGTCAATTGTTCGTTCACAGAAAGAGGGGCAGTTATGATTTCATATTGTGATCTCTATCAACTTTCAGGATTTACTTATACTCTCAGCAAAAACAAAGTTAGAGGAAATTGAATAGCCCAGGAAACCCTTGAAGGACTGAAAATGTGGGGAGAAGGGATGCCATATTAGATCAGAAGATGTTTGCCTTTCTGATGTCTTGATTGAAATACTATAACTGGTGTAGTAGTTTCCTAAGAAATTTTTTAAAACTTTAGAGTCTGAAATAGACTGAACACAGATAGTTCCATAGGGGGCTCATTGCACCTTTCCAATCTGAGCCCCTGTTTGTCCTTTAAAAGGACATCAACCTTTGGAGAATATCATTGGTGAATAGGTGAGCCCTTCAGTGAGGTTACCTTGGTTACTGCTGGAGAGGAGCTTCCGAATTTATGTGCGGCAGAGGAAGAGAAGACTGATTTCCATAACCAGTTATGGTGATGTGTCGAGGGTCCCCATGACCACACTCAGATGATAACTGGATTTTATCTATTGATGTGCATCTGGCTTCCTAATTTTTTTAGACTTTCCAGAGGACAGAGGTATGAGAGGATGCTGCCATCATCATCACTGATTCCAAACCACATTGCTAATTTTAGTGCTCAAGATGACTGGGCTAATCTGGGAGTATTATCCCAGGGGCAAAAAAGACACCCATTTGATCTGTCATTTGGTTCTTTCCCCTTCCTTTGCCTTAAAATACACTTCAAGGGGCGCCTGGGTGGCTCAGTCGTTAAGGGTCTGCCTTTGGCTCAGGTCCTGATCCCAGGGTCCTGGGATCAAGCCCCGCATTGGGCTCCCTGCTTGGCAGAAGGCCTGCTTCTCCCTCTCTCACTCCCCTTGCTTGTGTTCCTCCTCTTGCTTTCTCTCTCTGTCAAATAAATAAATAAAATGTTTTAAAAAATTAAAATTAAAAAAATTAAAAACAAAATATACTTCAAAATCTGGAAGTTGTGCACAAAGACAGTATAATTTTTTATCTGAAGAGTCCCACTAACTCAGGGTGTCATAAAAATTCATATACTTTCAGTAAGTACAGCTTTAAGATACTTATACAAGACCTTAAATAAGTCATATATGCTGTTTTTGAACAATTAAAATCCTAGTATCCCAGTAGAACATTTCCCCGATCCTACCCAGAGATTAGCTTTTAATTGCTCAAAAATGTTCAGCAGCAAGAGAGTATTGAACAAAAATTTAAAACAGCATTCCATTAAAACTGCAACAAATGACCCTAACTATTGCAAATGAGTAACCACACTGATGGGAGTGAGGAAGAAAAGAACTAACCTAGTAACTTTGGAAAATAGGCTCTTACCTGAATACTCTTACACTGAAGGCAAAAAGACTTGTACATAAATGCTGTATTTTGGTTAAAGGGTTTCTCACAGGGGTATAGGTTAGCAGTTCTGAATGTAGTAGTATTGAACAAATAAGTAAAGACATTGTAAATAATGAGAGCGAAGTTTCTTGCTGTTTGGGAATAAAGTTACAAATGAGGAAGAGCTCAAATACACCATGTGGTGTTGACTTAGAATCACAGGTATCTGTATAAAATCATGGTTTTCAGTATGTGTACAGACAGAGAAATACAGGTGTGTGGGTTAATGCATATACACATATTTTCCTAGCTCTGTCTGCTTGGAAGCAATGGAGCCCTGGCACTCATGAGAGCATCCAGCACTGACATCTTGCCTTCTAAACACATTATCTAATAAAAGGAACGAGGACTCCTGGGAAAAGTAATTAATTCCAGGGCTGGGACGGGGGAAATGCAAAATGAGCCTGGAGCATCTTGTAGGGTCAGAAAATAAGGAAGTGTTCCAAAAATTATGGGGCTTGTCATAACACTGGACCCAACCTGGATGGACAGAGCTGGAATAATTGTAGCACCAAAATAAATAATAATAATAATAATAATAATACTGGATTTTAAGCTATAGAATAAAATAAACACTCGTAAGTCCATACTGATATAAATAAGTTAGTTAAATGGGGGAGAATAGATAGCACTTTCCTACAGAAGAATTATAGTTAATGAACTTAGGTGGAGGAAGGGAAAATAGAAGATCACCATTAAGCAAAGACCACGATAATTATTATGATAGAAAAGATCCACTGGTGGATGCAAATGTTTATGGGTAAAATCTGAGGAGAAGCAGGGTATTTCCATAGTCTCAAAGTATCTCCCCCAACATAGTTATTAATTTTACAAGGAAAGGTAATTTCATAGTAAAGGAACTTACTAAGGTGGCAGATACCACCTTAACTAAGCAATCAAGATCAAGATCACTAGTGATAGGACACCGACATCATGAACCTCTTGATACTATGCACTGAGAAGGACACAATAGTATTTTACTGTCCTTAAAGACAAGGAAAGACTGAAGACCATGAGAACGGAGATTAGGAAGAAGTGAAAACAAATCGCACTGTGGGAAATTGGGTGGGATCATAGAACAGGAAAAGGGCATTTGTAGAAAAACTGGTGAAAGTAGAATAAAGCCTGCAATTGAGTTATCACTGGTTCTGATCATTGTACTAGGTAATGTAAGATGTTAACATTGGGAGAAGTTGGGTGGGAAGTAGATGCTAAAATTAGTTCAAAATAAAAATTATAAATAATATGAAATAAAACATATAAAGTGCCCCCAAACAAGTATTCCAATAAAAGTAAATTATTTTTTGGTTCTTCCTTTTGCAATTTCCACAGCGGAGCGACTTTCAAGCACCTGGCTGGATGTTCGTCACATTGAAAAATATGTAGACCGAGGTAAAAGTGGAACAAGAGAATTACTTTGGTCCTGGGCACAGAAAAACAAGACCATCGGGGACCTTTTACAGATTCTCCAGGAGATGGGGCATCATCGAGCTATCCATTTAATTGTGAACTATGGTAAACATTTATGATTCTTTTGATGTGGCTCTCAGTCCATTTTATAGGAAATGTAATTTGTAAATGTAAATACTGCATTTTATTCAAGACATTGACTGGTCATGCTATGTCACTGATTCCTTACCTGAGGCTTTATCTGAAGGCTTTTATTACTTGTTTTTCTTTTTTTTTTTTTGGTGAAATTTTCTTTCCTTGTTGCCTAAGTTATACAACACATTCCTCTCTACCACTTGTTAAGTTTTTTAAAATTTTTTACTTAGAAACTACACTTTTTAAAATGTTTTATTCTTAGCTAGGAGAATGAGCTCTCCATCCAAAACTCTGAAACTATTTGAATCATAAACAGAATCACAATATTTGAGTAAAATATACTTTTATAATTAGTTTTATCATATGATTAGAAGTCAGAATATAATTGGATTCTCCTCCCTGTATTTTGTTTTCTTAAAAGATTTATTTATTTGAGAGAGAGAGAGAGAGAAAGTGCACGTGCACACACATGCCCGAGTGGGGACAGGGGCAGAGAGAGAGGGAGAGAGAGAATCCTTGAGCAGACTCCCCAGGAGCAGGACTCAGGGCTTCATTCCAGGACCCTGAGACCATGACCTGAGCCAAAACCAAGAGTCAGCAGCTTAATCCACTGAGCCACCTGGGCACACCCCACTCTACTCCCACCCCCAACCCCCTGCCCTGTATTTTAGTGCAAATGATACCTGCAGAATAACCCTGGGATGTATCTTTTATCTTTACTGCTGTTTTTATGTCATGGCCTCTAACTTTACCTTACTTGTCTGCTATCCATTTCACAGTGGCCTAATACTTCCCTCTATTTGTCTTGTCTGTTTCTGATGCTGCGTCTTGCCTTCCATTTAGAGCAACCTGATAAGTAAAGCTCATGAAGCTTTTTCCATTCATCTTTGTCAAAAAAATAATTTTCTAATGTCACCTGTTCTGTTTATTCCACTTTAGATTTATTCACTTCAACAAGAATGATTTTGAGTGATCTTGGGTCTTATATTACAGACTCAGGGCTCTTAGGATGGAAATTCTTTTGAATCAGCATCTTATTCTTTTGGCTTTTTCATCCAGACATATTTTTAGTCCTTGATCTCATAGAATGATTTGCGAGTTGTTACTTCCTCTTCTTTTTTGGAAGAATTTGTAAATACCTGATATTAATTCTTTTTTCTTTTTTTTTTAAGATTTTATTTATTTATTTGACAGGGAGAGACACAGCGAGAGAGGGAACACAAGCAGGGGGAGCGGGAGAGGGAGAAGCAGGCTTCCTGCAGAGCAGGGAGCCCGACACGGGGCTCGATCCCAGGACCCTGGGATCATGACCTGAGCCAAAGGCAGACGCTTAACAACTGAACCACCCAGGCGCCCCAAGACCTGATGTTAATTCTTGTTTAAATGTGTGGTAGGGCTTTTGTTTGTGGGAAATCTTAGATTATTAATTCAGTCTCTTTCCTTGCAATACATCCATTCAGATTGTTTATTTCTTCTTGAGTTAGTTTTGGCAGTTTGTATCTTTCTAGGAATCTGTCCACGTCATTCCAGTTATCTAATTTTTTACATACAGATGTTCATCATATTCTCTTATAATTCTTTTTATTTCTATGAGGTTGGTAGTTGTGTCTCCTCTTTTGTTTTTGGTTTTAGCAATTTGAGTCTCCTCTCTTTCTTTCTTGGTTAGTCTAGCTAAAGGATTGTCAATTTTGTGATAATTCCAAAGAACCCACTTTGGTTGCATTGGTTTTCTCTTTTGTTTTTATGTTATCTATTTCATTTATTTCCACTATAATCTTAATTCTTTCCTTCTGCTTCCTTCGGTCTAGTTTACTCTTTCTTTTCTAGTTCCTTAAGGTAAAAATTCAGGTAATTGATTTAAGATTTTTCTTCCTTTTTAAGGTAGACATTTACAGCTATAAATTTCCTTTTAAGCACTGTTTTTGCTGCATCCCGTAAGTTTTGGTATGTTGTGTTTTCATTTTCATTCATCTCAAAGTATTTTCTAATTTCCCTTGTGATTTCTTCTTGAACTCATTGGTTACTTATGGATTTGTTGTTTAATTTTCATGTATTTGTGAATTTCCCAAATTTCCTTCTGTTACGGATTTCTATTTTAGTTCCATTGTGGTCAGAGAATATGCTCTGAATTATTTCAATCCTTCCAAATTTATTGAGGCTCATTTTTTTGCACAAGATATGGTCTATCCTGGAGCCTGTTCAATGTACACTTGTGAAATATGTGTATATTCTTCCATTTTGGGATGGAATGTTCTATAGAATGTCTGCCAGGTCTAATTGGTTTGTAGTTTGTTCAAGAAGGTCTGTTATTAATTGATTACATTTTGTTGCCGGTCTTCTAAGCAAAATAATTTTTAAAATAGAATACAATCTAAGAAAACTAGAAGATGAATTAAATTTTTTCTGAAGTCTGAATGAAAATGTCCAATGTGACAGCAAAATATTTCAGGGTTTTCATCTTTTGTAGGAAACTACATAGACTACCTCAATTCAAATAGAACAGATGGAAGTTACAGTGTGCATTCGGGAAGGGGTGGTAGGTGTTTGTGGTTGACCATGCGTGTGCACACATACACACACACACACACACACACCTCTAACACCTTATGGCATAAGATAGGATAAAAAATAAAGTAACCTAGGGAGATATGATCCCATGATTGTAAAACTTTAAAGTATATGGGCAAAAAGCTGATACAATGTTGCTTTTTCCTTTCAGTTTTCTGCTTTATCCTTTAATATTTTTAATGATATCTAACAATAACCTAAGGTAGGTATTTATGTGTTAACTGAACAAAATCATGTTTGCATAATATTTGATCCTTAGAAAGCTATTCACATATGCAAATTTGTAACCATTCAAAGAGAATGAAACTGAGCTTTAGAAATTAACATTACTAGCAAGGTGTTTATTTTCAGTCTAAGAAAGGAAGAAAAACATGCTTATTAGTGACATAAAATTTTTCTGTATCTAGCTTCCCTTATTTCTCTTTCAGGAGCAGTCTTGAATCCTTCAGAGCAGAGTCATCAGGGAGATGGATTTCCAAACATGTTACCCAAGGTAGAGTGTATGTGCATAGATAATGAACCTTGAATCCTGTTGCATATATAATGGAGCATGGGGAATGAAATTGTCAGACAGAAAAATGCTGGATTTGCAGGTACTTTTCTCAAACCAGAAAAGCCTCAGCTCTCTCATTACTCTTTGTTTAGTTGGGGATTGAGGATATTAGAGATTTGTGAGTGTTTTAAGAGTGAAGAGCTTTCTCCTCACAGTGATCTATCACAGATGAGGCTTAGAACTGTTAAGAGCTCTGTGAGCTGTGCATTTGTCTTAATTCAGTTTTTAATTTTCCTGTTCTAGTTGGCGTTCTGCATGTTGCTGTTGGTTTTATTGGAACAAATAAATTGGCAGTGATCGTTTTTATAGCATTAGAAGTCATTTAAAATTGACTATAACCATGACATTGAGTTTTTGCAGTGGTATGAAAGACTTAACTGTATATAGCAATGAATACTATTGAATTAAATAAAGTAACTTTGCTTTCTACTAGGTTTTTTCTAAATTAGATTCTACTCTATTGCACTGTATAGTCCAGGGGGAGCTTTGGATTTCTGTTAAGGTTCTGTTCTTTCTAGACTTATGAAAGGGAATTACTTCAGTCTGTATTTCCTCTCTTAGGAAACAGCTAATGTCACAGTGGATAATGTTCTTATTCCTGAACGTAATGAAAAAGGTAAAAAAAATTTTTTTTTTTACTTTCAATCATGTTGTGCTTTAAGTTAACTTACACAGAGAAATAGCCAATAAACCTATTAACTATTCATTAATATGCAGGTTTAGGGTAAAATTTTCATGGATATCAAAATACTTGCAGTTTTGACTGACACGGAGCTCTGATGGATGATATATTATGGTGATATTTTAAAAATCCATTGGCCAATAGAGAATATAATAGTGGCCTCTTCCCTTAGGGGGGTTTCATATTTTCCATTAGTGAAATTTGCATTTTTATGTGTCATCAGAAAACATTTAAAAATTACATTGGGTTTTATATAGTTTTAGAAATTTCCATAGCCCTTGCAGAGATCTTTAGAGATGTCTGTAGAGCAATGCTGAAGGTCACTATGCAAATCCCATTATTTTCCATATCAACTTTATTACTTTATTAGCAGGGAGAATAATTTAGTTCTACCTGGGAATCATTCTGATAAACTTTAATGGCTAGTAAGGCTGCTTTGCCTCTACTTTACCACTAGATCTGCATATTCTTTGGTTCAAAAGAGAATTAGAAAAGTTGGATAAAGTTGGATAAGGTTTTGGTCCTTTAAGATTTAACAGTAAGTTCTAAATCAAACATAAAATGCAGAAATAGAGCCAAAATTGGGCTCCGAAGGATTTAGCTAAGCTTTTCCCTTTGGATATGTATTCGATTACCTTTTAAATGTTTTCTCCCAATCTCTGCTTTAGATGATTTTTTGAAAAGCTAAAGCATCTTCCTAATTTACTCTGAGGAAGTAAGTTAGGAATAGAGAGGATTTGGCTCATGAAAAATGTTTCTGTCAGTCATGCTTGGAGAATATTGTTTAGTCATAACAAAATTTCCACTTCTATAGTTTCTGGTTTTTTTTTTTAAAATGGTTTTAGGTTCATAGTGAGTCAAAAGCAACCCATTGATCTAATGACAAAGAAATCGAATCTTGGAAAAATTTCCCCAACTAAGTTCTTTGGCTGAGCTCTTTGGAAGGGTGATAGGATCACAGTGCTATTGTTCAGATATCTAAAAAGCCATTTGCTCTCTGGAATGGTGGGTGCCAGACCCGAGTAAATGGGCAGAGAGCACATGGTGGGCTTCAGTTTGGGTTCCTGGGCCCTGCTGGTTTTCTGCTGGGCTCTGATATATTTCTAATATGGAAGTCCTAGTTCTTTATAATGGTGGCATTGATTCTTAAGGAGAGAAAAAGTAACTTATCTTCTCCCTACTTTCCTTCCTAAGGAATATTGTTTAAATCCTCCATGAGCTTTCAAAACATCAGAGATGGAACCAAAAATTTCCACAACGACTTCCTAATTGGAGAAGGGGAGATTTTTGAGGTATACAGAGCAGAGATCCGAAACCAAACATATGCCATTAAATTATTTAAACAGGTATGGAAAGAATTACTATCACAGGAGATCAGTTCCATTTATTTGCTCATATTTCATACTAGAATGTGTCATTTTTCATCAACATTGAAAGGAGGTATATTTGAAAACAAAGTTTCATAAATGGAAATAAGATATATGAGCTCAGGTGACTGGAGAAAAGACTGTGAAATGAATGCCTGTCTCGCAGGAATGTGGAAGTGAAATTCTTCCCATCCCCAGATGTGTCGAAGGAGGAGGACTTTTCTGAGAAGCCTTGCAGGACCATTGGCACTTTGCTTGTTCTGGTCTGCTCCAGTTTTCTTGTTCTTTGTGGGATGGACAGTGTCCGTTCCAAGTAGCTTCACAGGCTAAGCCACAGGTTGATATTTATAAATTGTCATGTATCACAGTTCAGGAGGGCTGGAAGGAGGAGGCTTCAGGTAAGAGGAGCAAGGCAGTGATCAGAGTAGGAGCTCAGGAGAAAGCTGAGTGGCCACAGCCAGGAAAGCAGAAAGGGTACTGGGGAGTCAAACTCAGGAGTCAGGAGACAGGGGCGCACACAGACACCCCAAAGAGCTGCTCTTCATGTTCCTCATTGTTAGTCAATGGTCAATTAACGTTTATTAAACTCTTGCTGGGCTGGGTGCTGAGCAAGAATGAATGAGGCATGATTACGTCCTCAGGGAGATCAGTCTTTTTTTTTTTCCTTTTTTTTTTTATTATGTGCAGTTAGCCACTGTATAGTTTTTGATGTAGTGTTCAGTGATTCATTAGTTGCGTGTAACACCCAGTGCTCATCACAACACGTGCTCTCCCCAATACCCATCACCCGGCTACCCCCTTCCCCCACCCCCTGCTCTCTGAAACCCTCAGTTTGTTTCCCAGAGTCCAGAGTCTCTCGTGGTTCGTCTCCCCCTCTGACTTTGGGGAACTCAGTCTTGCGGGGCAAACAAACGGTCAGGTAAAGAAAAGATGAACCTGCAGGGTGAGAAGTAGTTGAGCAGAGATTTGTATAAAACGTCGTGGGAGCCCGGGAGAGACAGCCAGAGCTCCGACGTGCAGCCACGGCCTCAGAGCGTTATCTCCCGATACCGACTTCATCACCCCCCTCTCCCAGTGGGCTTGATGGTTTCCTTTAAAGAGTCTTACTGATCTTTGTATCCGAGAGCATTATCACAGGGCCTGGCCCATGGAAGTTGCTCAATAAATGCTCGTTAGGTGAACTGAATGAAGCATGTATGTCCTTTTCATGAATTTAGCTGCTCATCTCTAGGAGTAAAAAGACAGGAGCTAACAAAGTTACCAGAGACTTAGAGACTGTACAAAGTCCTACACACACATCAGGAAAGATGGGATAATTTAACAAAGAGCCACAGAGCATTTGTTTTTAAAGAAATGTGGTTTTCTAAAATTGGGACATTAACTTCAGTACCTCAGCAACCTGTCTTGAAGGGACGGAAGTGGGGAAATGTACAAGATGCGTTAGGTGCATACAGATCACTTGGAGATCTTACAATGCGGATTCTGATTCGGCACACCTGGGTAGAGACCTGAGATTCAGCATTGCTCACCAGCTCCCAGGGAAGCCTGTGTTCCTTGTGCACAGACCAAACTTTGAGCATTAAGAGGGCTAGGTTAGCATGAACACAAAAACTAACCCCTTCATTTTTCAGATTAAGAAAACAACGACCTCAGGGATGTTAAGTGACAAAAAGTCACAAACATTGAGTAGTAGAAATAGGACTGAGACCCAATCCACCTGGCTCCCGGGACAACGGCTTTTTAAAACGTAAATTCTCATAAAGGGGTTCTTGAAAATGGTTTGTTAGCCTAGCTTATTGTTTCTGACTTCCTGGATTAATTTTTGGAAAATAGCTTCCAGAATTCCTGTTGGATTTCTCTCCCTTTCTTCCTGAGAACAGAGCTCTAAAAACCCTGCCCTGTCTCGCAATTTACAAATAATAGAAACTTACAGCTGATGGAGCCTAAGAATATTTAACTCTTTCGTGGTAGAAGTTAGGAACTGGAGATGCGGAGACATGCAGTGACATAAGGTGTATAAAGCCATCAAGAACAATACCAGGTACCGAGTAGGTGCTCGTACAATATTATTGAATTCATTAATAAATATTCATGTGTCAGGCATTGGGCTAGCTTCTGAAACGCCTTTGAAATAAGGAGTTATATTTCTCAATGTCTTAGTAAGCCCATTTTTTCAAAATTAATACAAAGGTAAACTTGAGTCATCATCTCCAAATGACCCAAATCAGAAATGCCAAATTAGTGAAATCACTCCTAACCAGAATACAGCGACAACAAACTGGATTCTTTCTGAGACCAAGTGGGGAATTTCTGTCATGGGATTTTCCTTAAATACATATATAAAATTTTTGAATTTATGTAAATGTGTACAAAATATGGTAAAAGGGTTTGAATATAAAATACAGCAATAGGACACATTGCATGAAAAACTTCTACCTCAAGAGCAGTGGTTCTCAATCTGTTTGGGAGGTAATGGGTTTTTGAAAGTCTGATGAAAGCTAAGGATCCTCTCCCCAGACAAAATGCTTATATGCATTTACATCAAAAAGGGCAGCTAAGTTGCAGGAAGACTATAGACCCTGGGTTAAGAATCCCAGAAATAGAGATCCTTTCCTTAATTTTTTTCCTCATTTTTCTATATGATATTTAGGAGAAAAAAATGCAGCATAAGAAACACTGGAAGAGGTTTTTATCTGAACTTGAAGTTTTACTACTGTGAGTATATTTTGTCTGGAATTTCTCCCTCTGCCTGGTTTTCAGCTTTGTGCATCTTTGATGCTTAGAGGTAATAAATGTGGGTTGGCTGTGAGAACACTGGGTACATTTTTGACGTCTGCTTTAGTCTGTTCCTTAGAATACATTTTAAAATACACCATCCACATAATTCACTTGAACATATTTTAACAAGAAACTGTCACAAGAAGGTGGGTTAAATCATGTGTGCTTAACATGGCTCAATGTCAAGTAACTCCTGGAACATTAGAATTGTATGTATTTGACCATTTCCTCCTTCCTAAGAGACATTTTAGTCAAGAAACTGTTTCATCAGTATAACCCTCTTCAGGAAGAGAGTTTAGACAAAGAAATCAAGTGCTATTTTCTGGGAATTCATTCATGAGCCCGGGAGTCCTTGGAGACAAACTAAAATGACTTAATGTTCATATATATTCATATCTGCAGCCGTCCAGCCTGCTCATCAAAGGCCCTTAACCCTATGGAGCTCACTCATCACCCTTTATGAAAAGAAAATATTCTTTTCAGATATTTTCTAAAGCAATAAGTGAAATGGGTGGTGGTGGAGGAGGCATTGTACTAAATCCTTCTTTTATCCCCGGGACCAGAAATCAAAACATTAGAAGTCTAATCATAAAAACTTAACACATATCATTTAGTCAACCAAAAACTAAAACCCAAATTGTAATAGTAGAGGGTCTCTATTTTTAAGCTTTATTTATTTGCTAATGAATGAGTAATAAGTTGGAAAATTTCAAAATTCCAAAAGTGCCAAAGCGTAAACCAAGAACAGATTTTTTCCCCCCTATTATCTTCAGCTACCCAGCTGATTTCCCCAAGGGTAACAATTATCAGTTTTCTGTATATCTTCCCAGAGATACTTTATGCATAAGCATGTGTGTATTTTGTTTTCTTATTTTCACACCACGGGTAGCATAAATATATTGTTCACTTTGCTTATGTTAGTATTTCATTGTGTGCTGTACTGTAATTTAATTAACAATTATCATATCAATGGATTTTTTAGTTTTTTTCTAATCTTTTAATATTAGAAAGTAATGATGCTGCAACAAGAAAAGCTTGTATATATGTTATTTTGTACCTGTTTGAGTATATCTGAGTTCCCATAAATACAATTACAGGGTCAAATGGTTATATGCATTGCATAATACCAAATTGTCCTCCAAAAGAAATACCACTTTACACTTAAAGCAGGCCTATATAAGAACGCCTGGCTCCCCATATTTTTGTCAACATAGCGTTTATTCTTAACTTTTAATTTTTGCCAGTGTGCTAGGTGAAAATGATTTCTCAGTGTGGTTTAAATTTCTTTTTCTATTATGAGTGAATCTTTTCACATATTAAGAGACCTATTTTCTTTTCTGTGAAATATCTGATACTATTCTTTGCCCATTTTTTTTAAAAAAAGAGGCTGTTGGTATTTTTCTTAATGATTTGTAGGAGCATTTAATATATTAGAGAAAATTAGCCTTATTCTTGTTGTGAGATACAAATTTTTTTTTTTTTTACCAGACTGACATTTGTCTTTGCCTATTCTAGTTTTTGCTATGTGGAAATGGTTTTAATGTAGTGAATTTTTTAAAATTTAAATTCAATTAATTAACATATAATGTATTACTGGTTTC